AACTGCACCGTGTAGATAAAAGACAAAATATGCATATAATTATTTTTTAAGCAGTTGTTATTTTTATGGGGATACGTATAATAATAGTCTAAGTACAAATAAGAGAAGATATGTTGTCAAAGAGCAACATTTTGCATTTAAACATTGAAGAGGAACCGGAAGGGACCATCTGTATGGTCTAATCCGATTTTCAGTTGCAGATACCGAGTGGATGCTATCTCAGATACACGAGGATCTTCTCCGGAGCGTACGCACTTCAAAATTATCGGGGGCAGAGGCAGAACGGGTACCAAGACGTGAGAGCGGCTTATCACGAAGTTCATCCAATTCATGGAAGCCAAGGACATCTCCCGCTACCTAGCCTATATCCTCCTAGTGACTGTAAGTACCTCCACATCTCTACATTCTTTGCTCTTCACATGCTGCATATATGCGAGAATTTTTATAAACGTTATATATTTTTGTAACAATAAATTAATGTAATATGTGTCATTAATTTATTCGTTTTTCATACAGATAAAATATTGCTTGTGTATTATCAATTTTTAACCTTCAGAATAAACATAGACACAGAATAAGTATCAAATTTTTGTCTGTTTCTACTAAATTATTAACGATAAAGTAGTCCTACCGAGCGCAACTGTAAAACAAAAAGTAGGACAAAGGGCTAATTGATTTAATGTTAGAAACATACTTCGAAATATTTCTTCCTTATTCACCTCAGCTTTCAGTCGTCTAGTTACATCGGATAATCGAGATTCTATAGCATCTTGTTTTTCACCTATCAAGTTGAATCTCATGCGTATTACAGGCTGATAATGAAGCATCGTTAGTGGACAATAATTTCGCGCAACATTTGCGACTCCTGCACAGGAATCGCTTTTAGTGAATAAATACATAGCTTGAAATTACGGTAAAAGATCCTGCTACTCGGGATTTAATAACGATTCTCGGGCGAGCAAGGTAAGTCAAAAGTCCCCGATATCATTACACGAGAGAAGTAGGGTAAGAATATTTAATATGAAACACCTAAGTTGAAAAGGTTGCTAAGAATAAAGATATATATGATTTCTCCAATGAAACCGACGTTAAAACGTGAAAAATTAAGTCTCCCAAAATTATTGTAAAAAATGTAAGAAAAGTCAGAAACGAATAATTCAGAAACGTTGAAAAGGTACGAAATATGTAATACCTAGGTGTTTTGTAAACCCCTATAATGATGTAGTAAGTTAAATCTATGATATAAATATATTACATATACTAAATTACATTATATTGTATATTATCTTTCCATACCATATTAAATTGATATATTGAGTTAAATATATGATACACATATAATATATTTATTACTTATTTTACAAAATATTCTAGTATTGAAAATTAAGCGCTATTCCATATTAGTTATACTTATGCTACCTCTTAGTCTGTGTCTTCCTCGGAAGAAAGGACACTTCGCAACCAGAGGCGAAGCTGCCAGCTTACGTGGAATATGTCTCATACAGCTGCCATATACTTTAGGTAGAATATCTCTGGTTCTTAGAACAGAATCGTTATGTAGAAAATTTCAGAGCTTAGAACCTCCGACATAGCGGCGTCCAAAGACCAACGGGACTATTGGACGGGTAGGGCGAAGGAATAAATTAGTGAGCCATAGCACAGTGCCGCGCCAGTATCTAGGTGTCGAGAAGCTAATTGTCATTAGAGCACTAGAGTTGTCGTCGCGACAGCGTGACAAATTTTACTTTTGTATATTTGGTGAGCGTTTTAATGTGAAAATCAGAGCGAGAAAGTCAAATGGACCCAAGATTTTAGTGTCACTAAAATTGGGTCAAGTTTGCACTTGCTTCTGCTGACGTAGATGCTATCTATAATTCTGCAAATGCTTCCTTCACTAAAGTTGGGAGATCACTTGATGGCTAGATTGGAGGATGCGATTTCGATTGATTAGTTTTGATCTGTCTTCATTTCAATGCCAATTTGCTGTTCGTCAATACGGTCACACGTAACCAATCAAAACTATAAACACACAAGGAAAGACCCATTTTTTCTCTATGCCTCCTGATACACATTAGCACTAAGTATACGGCTCGTTGCGTCGCGTTATCGTTGTGTATTAAATTAACGATTGCATATGCTTGGCGTACAATTTGACGAAATTTTGGTTTCTCGAACAGTACGGGGCCAACGGAGGACTTTCGTTGTTTTGTTTTCGGTATCGATTAATTCTTGTGTAATTGAATAGCACATACTGGTGAAAATATTATCAGTTTAGAAAATGTCGCTTCGCGTTTGTCGCTGTTTTTTTATTTAAAAATGTTTTTAATTTGAAATACTGATTATTTGTTTGTTTATGAATTAATCACATTTTAAATTCTATAAATAATATTAATGAATGTTAAAACAATAAAAATATAAATTTTCTTAGAGATTCAATAAAAAGTTTCTCGTTTCGTTATAATTTATTTTAATTTGTTCAACATTTAGTCTGTTTTTGTCGACTATAGTAGTCATGGCTTCAAAATAAATAACCACATATCTGCGCACTTCTAAAAATAAATGAAACACTTAAACGGTTGATGCTTTATTGATAAAGCTCAGAACTCCGTGTTCGTAGCTATTAATTTAATGGAAATCTCGAAGTACGGCAAATAAATCCATAAACGTATAGAAGAAAATGTTTCCAATGCGTTTAACAGTTTACTTTTAATCTTCACTGTGTATGTTTATCCGTTTACATTCATAGCAACGAGAATTGAAATTATCAGCTCCCTTGACACATTCATTACCAACGATTCGTGACAACGGCAACCCCATATTTTATATAAAAGAGATTTATTTGGAAACTCAATGTCGGATTATTTAATTGAGGTATATACAAGCTGGAACAAATAATGTATTTTAAATGGAACAAATTATAAACGTCATTAACAAGTTGCCAGATCGCTTCGTCATATAAATGTATTATAACATCCATTATAACAACCATCCAGGAATTCATAACTTATTATAATAAGCAAAACGAAATCCACACTGAACATATACGCATTAATTAAATAAATTCATATGTCAAATTTCTAACACTCTCTATAGTTTCACTGTTATGCGAAAATATAAAAGGAAATAACACCAATGAAGCGGGTAACGACGTGATTGTGTTGAATTGCAGGGAAGACGTTCCAAATCAAAGCGACTGACACTTAACATTAATCATACCGGCGCTTTTTCTACCGTAACTCGTCAAATAACTGGTTATAAAATATAGATAATCAACTTAGATGATAAATTGTTGTTAGTGAAAACAGAAATAAAAGGAAGGATGAAAATTGAAAAACCAATTAATCGGACAATATAGGAATTGATATAAAATTAAATGAACAAAAGAAAACTCAGAATTTTAAAACTGGTCATTTGACCAGCGTAATGGTTTACTCCAAAAACTGTTGGAGTAAAAAATTCCGCACATTGATAAGGCAAAACTTTGTCGTGAAGGATGATTACAAACAATATTATCATGTTCCATAGAAGATATGGTGTCAACCACGTCCTCGTTAAATGGAAACTTTTTGTATTATTCCATGTTTTACTAAAATAATGTCATATTATTCATAATAATATTTTTATTAACATAATAGTATTTTCAGACTAGAAAAAAATCAAAATGTATACCATATTTTCGAACGTAGGGAGTATTAAATATCAAACTTGACAATTTTAGTGTGCCAAATCAATTGGCGTCCGAGCGGCGCCTCTGGAATGCAAAAGATTACGACGAAGAGTTAAGCAAAGAAACTAAGCCTGGGTTATAAGAAATTAATACGAGGAAACGACTAGACAGGAACCAGATTGCTGATTCATTACTGATTCTCTCAAATCAATTCACTCAATGGTGGCCCTAATTTTTTGTTCGGGGTCTCTAAATCCTGGATACTACATAATTTTAATATTTTTTGATATGAGAATAAATATATATTATTTAGAAGATTCGTAGGATTTCATAAAATATCGCCAAAGCTTCTACATATTATGATCCGTGTTTCTGATACATGCTTCAACCGAATGTATGGATTAGTGAAGCAGTATGAATGCAATTAGTAACTGATACAGGAGTGAAAAGATGATGATGTCCAGTATGCGTCGCGTCGCGAAACAAAATACGCTCGAATGATAGAATATATGTTTTCCAGGTGCATGTAAATACCTCTGTGCATTCGCAGAGTGTATTCCTTATGAAACAAAGTTTCAATGTATCAGCAATATGTGTCATAATGTGCACAGCCATTGAATTTAATGCAGGTTTCATGAAACCTGGTGTCGCTGCATGTATTAGCAACATGTATCATAATCTGTAGATGCTTTTAGACTGATTTGAAGCGTCGCTTTTAATCACGTCCAACCATTCAATTGGATCGCGCCGATCGACGTTTGTGTGTGCAATCGTGGTATTCAAAAGGGCACTGTTCTACGCTGAACACGTGAAGAAGTGTAAATAATAGGTGGTATATAGGTCTAAATTTGTAAGACAGAATTTTGTGGGCTGAATAATGGGATGGTATAAACAGGATTTGAATATTACTTCTTTTAATTTGATGTTATTCGCTTGAGCCACTGGCACTGTTTAGCCAGAAGACTCTCTCCTATCAGCGTAGCTCTTGTTCTGTTTATTGCGCCTCAAGACTCGGAACGCTTTCCCTTAACTCTTTATACTCCGAATTTCTTTTGTGTTTTTTCCTCGATAACTTTGTATTATTACGATATTTCATTTGAAATGCATTTTAGAAAATAGATAGTTTGTAGAGAGCAATGTAAACGATTCTTCTTACTAATAATATTGAAAACAGATTATATTATTATGTTGTTTTCAATATTATTAGTAAGAAGAATCGTTTACATCGCTCTCTACAAACTATCTATTTTCTAAAATGCATTTCAAATGAAATATCGTAATTATTTTAAAAATATCTTGGCAAAGAAGCACACCTATGAATAAAACTGATGTCGAGTCACGCTCGATATAAGAGCACGAAAGATTAAAAGGACACTGATTGACGAAACGCAGACGACCAGCGTTCAACTTTCCCTTCACTAAAATTATCTTGTAAATTTGTCAGTTTTCATTTCTTCTTATCTCATTTTCCGTCGTCTCCGAACTTTCTTCATATGCAACGCAGAGTAAAGTTAGAAGATCTCTTGATGGCGAAATTGGCGAACTCGAGTCTGATTGGTCAGTCTTCGTCTATGTCCATCTCATTTCCAATGTTAATTTGCTATTCGTCAATATGGTTGCATGTTATCTGATGGAACAAAGTATTTTCTTTAATAAACTTTATTTAATTCTTACAACTTGTTACACCCTACCCCACTGAACACTCTGTATATTC